TTTTGTAGTTGCTGCATTTAGAAACAAAATGCGCTAATTTCTGCTTTGTGTCACCTTATTTCATGACTCGACTGTACCATTTTATTTCCTAATAAAAAGTTAAGTGTAATGTGCCAATGCTGAAGATGCCACAACTAAGGAAAACCATATTTTTGTCTTTTATTTCGTGTTTTAATCGATTCTGTAACATTAAAACTATTATAAACACTTAACTTCAAGATGGCTGAAGTAGTATTCTTTGCAAAGTTATTTTTATCATTACAGTACCACCACTTAAAGCTGTATTTCTGGAGTCAGCACTGGGGAAGGTTCACAACAGGACATACTTGGCCACAATATTAACCACATAGACGTCAGGGCCAAATACTTTATGTACAGAGGAAGAATCACAAATAAACAGTTTGTATACTGTATTAATGTAGGTTTTACAGTAGTTAATCAGGATAAAACATCTGCAGCCAAGCTAACAGCTCTACAAGGCTGCACTTAAAAATAATGGTGCTTGGAGCTAAATGCTAACACGAGCATGCTCACAGTAACAAAGCTAAAATACTGAAGTACATTCATATACACTGCTAACCACGCTCACCATCTTAGTTTAGTGTTTGATTCTAAACAATGCTGCAGGAGGTGAGCCAAAAGTACGATTATTGAGAAGCCACAACAGGGATGCTGCCGAAGAAGTCTTTGACATATTGCATGTGAAGTCTTACAATTCAGTCTATTACAATTAAAGAAAGCGTCAATAGTCATCAACCACAAAAACATACGGATATAAGAAGGAAGGCATCTGAGTTCCTGTTCTCATGTCTGTGGGCTGGTACGAACTGCAGTTCACACATTTCAGTTTGTCAGGATGAAGCTGAACATCTTCTGCTGCCTGTTGGCCTGTGTTCTGGGCTGTAACGCCACTGCAGGTGAGAAATGATCAAATCAATCCTATAAAACACTTGTACTTATCTGTTTTATGCAGTTGTTTTTTTTTTTGTTAAATTAAAATACTTCAGACACTTTTACAAGTCAAGGAAAAGTCTGTATCAGATAAGACACATCATCTCAGGAAGTTGGGAGAGGTGTGAACTACGCTTTATGGTTTTTTTCTCACTATCAACAACTTCATTCTAAACTAATCAAGTAATCATTTTGTCTATAAAATGTTAGAAAACAGCAAAAGGTGTTGTTGTAGTCTAGCAGATTGCATGTCTTATTTATTATAGAAAATCATCAGCAAATCATCATCTTGGAGAGAATGAGACCAGAAAAGACTGACAAATAGATGAGTATGTAGCTGATGGACACGGCAAACATTCTGTCAGATGTCTGCTTTTTGTGATTACCTCTTTGCATAACTCTGAGTTACATAAATTTATTAGACTTGGCAACAGTAGAACTTCTGTTTGTCAGAACACATTTATCGCTCAACGTAGAAAATTTCATTGAACTCTGAACTTACAACTTGGTGGACAGAACTTGGTCTCCTGTGGCAACTAAAATGAGAATATGATTCACATTTTTGAGATTTATTTGTGAAGACCTGGCTATAAACCCTTAAACATTGTGGTCTCGTAACATCAATGAGCAGCTAAAGTTCAATGTNAATTATCATTGTTATGACTGATATATTTAAATGCACAATAATAAACACTCAGAACTCCAAAACCTGCCAGCAAATTTAAAAGGCCTGTTGTCTTTTTCCCTTCCTTTTTGTTTTGTTTGTTTAAATCACCATAATTACACCATTTATCATTCAGAAACTGTACATGTGAACGATTTTCAATGTGTGACATTGTTTGAAGTTGATCATAATGTTTTATATGTCAAAAAATTAAGTGAAAATTATATGAATCATCACACAATTTTGGACAGCATTTGACATATAGGTGGTGCTAAAGCTACATTTAAATGGCTTGACTCTATCTCACCTGCAATGTTCCAACTCTAGTTTCATCTAATGAACATTTTAAAATGTATTCTGGTGCCGGTGCTGTTGTTTCCCTTTACAGAATGAGACACCTGACACCCGCTCTCCACCTTTAACTGCACACATCCTTGTTTTTGTAGTTGCTGCATTTGGAAACAAAATGCGCTAATTTCTGTTTTGTGTCACCTTATTTCATGACTCGACTGTACCATTTTATTTCCTAATAAAAAGTGAAGTGTAATGTGCCAATGCTGAAGATGCCAAAACTAAGGAAAACCATATTTCTGTCTTTTATTTGGTGTTTTAATCGATTCTGTAACATTAAAACTATTATAAACACTTAACTTCAAGATGGCTGAAGTAGTGTTCTTTGCAAAGTTATTTTTATCATTACAGTATCACCACTTAAAGCTGTATTTCTGGAGTAGCAGTCAGCACTGGGGAAGGTTCACAACAGGACATACTTGGCCACAACATTAACCACATAGACGTCAGGGTCAAATACTTTATGTACAGAGGAAGAATCACAAATAAACAGTTTGTATACTGTATAAATATAGGTTTTACAGTAGTTAATCAGGATAAAACATCAGCAACCAAGCTAACAGCTCTACAAGGCTGCACTTAAAAATAATGGTGCTTGGAGCTAAATGCTAACACGAGCATGCTCACAGTAACAAAGCTAAAATGCTGAAGTACATTCATATACACTGCTAACCACGCTCACCATCTTAGTTTAGTGTTTGATTCTAAACAATGCTGCAGGAGGTGAGCCAAAAGTACGATTACTGAGAAGCCACAACAGGGATGCTACCCAAGAAGTCTTTTACATATTGCATGTGAATTCTTTTAAAATATGTTCTTACTGTAGATTACAATTCAAGGAGGCGTCAATAGTCATCAACCGCAAAAACATACGGATATAAGAAGGAAGGCATCTGAGTTCCTGTTCTCATGTCTGTGGGCTGGTACGAACTGCAGTTCACACATTTCAGTCTGTCAGGATGAAGCTGAACATCTTCTGCTGCCTGTTGGCCTGTGTTCTGGGCTGTAACGCCACT